GACCTCTCACAGAAACAAAGATATGAGTATCACATGTTCTCACTCATATAGTGGACTTTGGTCATCCAACGTATTACCATAAGAAAATGACTGACGGTGGTGGGAAACTATGGTGGGGTGAGGGGAAGGGAGATGGGATTAATGGTAGTAAATATCTGTCTGGGGACGGGGAGACACTTCTTATCAGCAAGGGTGCCTGAATGAAGCATATTTGTATATCTAACGCTCAACTGTACCCCACAATATCATAATAAAAAATATTGATTAAAAAATATAAAAATGGAGAAAATGTTGGGAAGAAACTGAGGAAAATATAAGAACAATAAAAATAAAACCCAAAAAGGAATGATGGAAATGAAAACAATTATACTATTTTGTGAGTTAGCTGTGAATAGTGTTTAAAATAAGCTTAATGTAACACTGGAATATAGTTATAACAGAATTTATAATTACAACCACATTGGGGGAAGTTGGGATTGGAGAGCAGGGAGAGAAAGGATGTGTGTATGCTGTAGTGGGGGGAGGTGAAAGGATCCAAATTCTCATCTTTCATATGAGTTCAAGTTATAAAACTGTTGGAGTATTCTAAATTTGAGCTGAAGAGAAACTACAAAAGCTGTATAAGTGAGAGGAAAGTTCAGATCTTTCAAGGAGAGAGATAGATTCTTTGGGACTTGGAGGCTGGATGAAGTTAGTGAGTGAGGAGGAGGTGCTTAAATTCAGTTTGTGGATTAGTTGCCTGGACAATGGTAAAAATAATAATAAATTTAGCAAATGATATCTGAGGGGGAGAAACAATGGGATTCAAGAAAATGCCGAATTCAGTTTGAAACACTTTGAGCTTGAGAAATATAGACTAAAATAGAGTTTTTGGTAAAAGTTTGGGTTATACAGATAGGACAGTGGTTTTCAAATATGAGCAATTTTGCCACCCAAAGTTCATTTGACAATGGAGAAAATTTTGAGTGTAACAACTGGTGTGTGTGTGTGTGTGTGTGTATGTGTGTGTGTGTGTGTTTGGGGGATACTATTTGGCAACTAATGAGGAAACTAGGATGCTATGCACCCTATACTATACAAGGCAGCCTCCAAATGAAAAATTATCTCATCAGAAATGTAAAAAGTCCCAAGACTGAGAAATCTTGATGTATATAAATATGGATGAGGAACAGGGGAAGGGGTACTAACATCTGTCGGGTTTTTCTATATGTCAGGCACATTTCTGATACTTTATGTGAATTTTTTTTTTTTTTGAGATGGACTCTCACTCTGTTGCCCAGACTGGAGTGCAGTGGCACACTTGCAGTCACCTCAACCTCGACTTGCTGGGCTCTAGCGAGCCTTCCACCTCAGCTTTCCAAGTAGCTGGAACTACAGGCACACGATACCATGCCCGGCTAATTTTTTGATTTATTGTACAGACGAGGTCTTGCCAAGTTGCCCAGACTGGTTTCAAACCCCTGGGCTCAGGCAGTCCTCTTGCCTTGGCCTCCCAAATTCCTGGGGTTACAGGCTTGAGTCACCATAGCCAGCCTATGTGAATTAACTCATGTAATTTCCACAACAACCCTATGAGACAGGTCTTTTATTAGCCTCATTTTATAGATATCTATAGGTTACATAGATGCAAATATACATACAAGGCTCAAAGAAATTCTGTCAATTGTTTATGGTCTCACACTTGAAATTTAAGAAGTCTGGATTTAAACTCAGTCTGATATGAGAGCCCACTCCCACCCTCCCAAACACTTACTACATCTTTTTATTGAGGAGAAATCCACAGCATGAATAGTGTTAAAGATGATAAATCTGATATTTTACTAACTCCATCCCAGAGGCTTATAGGAAAGCAGTAGACATGGCAAGTGACTGTGCCCCAGGATCTCCCCTTTGTAGAGTTATGTGTAGAACCTAGGGGATGGCAAGGAGAATGACAAAGCAAGCCACCCACTATTCTGCAACGGGGATTAGGATTTCCAGATGTGAAATTATAAACTGAGTAAAACATGCATTCCCAACAGACTCAGTATTAGGTCTCTGACACAGGATGTAAACACAAGCTCAGTAACATCTAACCTCAAGGGACTCATCAAACTTGGGAAAAAAATCATAAAGCAGATAATTTTCTGTCTGTCATCAATTTTCTCAACTATAAGGCAACTATATTTTAGATTCTTATTCAAGTCAGCTTACTGTTTAGGAGGCTCATATATGATGATTGTTTTCCTCCATGGGTGTGAAGAGAACCTTCTAGAAAAATTCTCAAATAGAAATAAATTATGACATATTCCACAGAATACCTTTTCTAACCTGTCAAAGACTGAGGTTTGTGCTAGTGCCAATTATTTCCTTCATCACAGAAACTTTGACTCTCTCAGGACAGTGGAAAGGAAGGGCCCTTAAGATCCAGCAGCAATCAGTCCTCCAAGGATAGAAAGGTAAGCATTGAATCAGTTTATTTATTTTTTTGAGTTGTGGCCTCACACTGTAACCCAGACTGGAGTGCAGTGGCATGATCATGACTCACCACAGCCTTGAACTTCTGGGCTTAAGCAATTCTCTCCCCTCATTCTCCTGAGTAACTGGGACCACAGATGTGTGACACCATGCCTGGCTAATTTTTTTATTTTTATTTTTTAAAGAGATGAAGTTTCGTTACGTTTCCTAGTCAGGTCTTAGACGCCTGGGCTCCAGCAATCCTCTTACTTCAGCCTTCCAAAGTGCTGGGATTACAGATATGAGCTACTGCACCTGACCAAAATCACTTCTGTCTTGATAATTGCCTTTCAAACCCAAGACTATATACATAAGTGTTCTGGGTAGACACCAACTATTCTTTGCTTTATTCAGCCCTAATCCTTAGTGAAACTTGAGGAGAAGCGGGGGAATGATGTGCAGAGACTTTGGGAAGTTTACCAGAATTCTCCCTGTACAGAAACATACAACATGGGTAGGGGGAGAGGATAAAAAAGGGAACTATCAGGAATCACCATAGGAAGTATGACTCCTGGGATGCCTTGGGTGTATTTAGACAACTCTGAGTTTGTAAACTAGCAGATTCAAACCTCCCTTTGGAGACAAAGAGTGCAGGTCAGCTGTTAATGTCTCTTTTACCTTTGTTTTTACAGATCACACCCACGGAGTGAATGGCTGTGGAAAATGACTCTTCAGTGACTGAGTTTCTTCTTAAGGGATTAACAGACCTATCTGAGCTCCAACTGCCCCTGTTTTTTCTGTTCTCGGTAAACTATATGGTCACTGTAGTGGGAAACTTGAGCTTAATTCATCTAATTTGCCTGAATTCACACCTTCACACTCCCATGTATTTTTTCCTTTTCAACCTGTCCTTTATTGATCTCTGTTATTCATTTGTCTTTGCCCCCACAATGCTGATGAGCTTTATTTTAGAGAGGAACATCATCTCCTTTGCAGAATGCATGATTCAACTATTTTTCTTCTGCTTTTTTGTCAACTCTGAGTGCTATGTGCTGACAGCCATGGCCTATGATCGCTATGTGGCCATCTGTAAGCCTCTGCTGTACACAGTCACCATGTCCCCTAAGATCTGTTCCTTGCTGATGTTTGGTTCATATGTGATGGGGTTTGCTGGGGCCATGGTCCACACAGAGTGTATGATCAGGCTCATCTTTTGTGATTCCAACATCATTAACCATTACATGTGTGACATCTTCCCCCTCCTCCAGCTCTCCTGCAGCAGCACCTATGCCAATGAGGTGGTGAGTTCTTTCATTGTGGGAACAGTTGTCATAGTATCGAGCCTCATTATCTTAATTTCTTATACTTTGATTCTTTTCAACATCCTTCACATGTCCTCGACTAAGGGTTGCTCCAAGGCTGTGAGCACCTGTGGCTCCCATATAATAACTGTTGGCCTATTTTATGGATTTGGGCTACTTACTCATGTTAAGCCATCATCTGTTGGGTTCATCGGCGAGGGAAAATTTTTCTCAGTGTTTTATACCAATGTGGTACCCATGTTGAATCCCTTCATTTACAGCCTCAGAAACAAAGATGTCAAACATGCTCTGAAGAGAATGCTAAAGAAATTTACAAACTGAGCAGAGCCAATGGTGCTGCCTTAGTTCCTTCCCCCATTCCTGGGTCTTTCTCTCCCCTTCCTGCTCTTTCTCATCCTCTTACTCCTATACTTTTATTTCTCTTCATCTTTCTTTCTAAAGTCTTCTTGACAAGATTTCTACTTTAATATATTTTCTGCTCTCACCATGTAATGCAACCATGTGGGTTTATTCTTGAACTTGAGAGTCATCCTCAGTCTCAAACTAGCCCCAACCTGATCTTTATTCCTCACATTAGATGGATACACTGAGCTGATGTATTTTCCTATTTAAGGATAACAGTATCTACTTTTTTCTATGTGTCTTCCTCATCCAAGATAAGTCAGTCAGTTGGATGCTATCTGACAAGTTCATTCCTTTCTCTGAACAACCGTATAGAGTTCTTTTCTGTTTCAAGGGTTTTATTTTTCTTTTTTTCCTCTGCATGCCTTTTTTTGCCTTTAGTTTAAAGACGTGGGGTACAGTTGAGGGTTAAGTATACAAATGTTCAATCTTCAGGTACCCCTGTTTATGAGGTGTGCCCTCCTTCCCCTGACAGTTTCAAGGGTTTTATTTCTTACAATTGTGTTAAAGCAGAAAAGAGATGATAAAAATTGTAGACATGATAAAGTTGTAAACATTTCCAGAATTGTTCAGAGTTCTTTTATTAATTGCTCTTTTTCTGTATTTTTAGCCCCAATCCTTTAATGGAGCTTAATGCCCTATTGAACCAAGTTTCTATTCTTATAGATAATTGTGGATGGAATAGGTTTATTACTCTGCTCACCTTTCTCAGACTCCACCAATGATGACAATGCGTTGGTCAGTCTACATTTTGTCATAATAAAATTGACATTGTCATAGACTTGCCCATGTATCTGTGGATTGTGATTAAAAATTGCACAATATTTTTGGTGATAGAATAGATTGTCACATGTAATGTCAAGATACTATGTTTATCTAGCTATGTAGTAAGGATTACCATTTGGAAAGGAAGATCTAATATTTCTTTAAAAACAATAAACAAAAATATATGACACAAACCTAGCTAGATTGAGATTTATTCTTTCATAAATTTGACTTATCCCTTTTGTCTCAGAAGAAAAAAATAAAATCTGAGACCTAATCTGTGTGCTACATTAAAAAAATTAAATCCTATTAAACATAAGTCTTCTTATCCATTCTCTACATGAGTAAAGGGTATATTACTTGCTTAAGGCCACACGGCTAATGATGCAGAGCCTGGTTTTTGATCCATTGTTCATCTCGTGAAGAAATGGAAGGGAAAAAAAAGAATTATAAGGCAAGAAAGAGAACTTCTAGAAAATTCTTTCAGAAGTGGCCTGAAAGTGTAGGTTTCATGGGAATGATGCTCTCAGTAAAGGTGACAGTAGCAGAAAGATGCTCTTCAAGTCCTGATGTCCAACTAGAAAAATGCACATGTCCTACAGAATTTTGATTTTAAGAGAGGTAGGCAAACAGAATGAGCTACAAAGAAACACTTTATTTATTTATTTTTTAAATACTAGAAATCTTTTCCTGGGATAGTGAGGCTGAGGAGTTTTAGTTAAGCCTTTTTTGTGAGTCATGTCACACTTTACATAGTAGTGTGTGTACTGTAACAAGCCTATTAGATAGTATGCCATCATTTGGAAACAAAAAGTTATTTATAGTAAAAAGAATAGAATATAAGGTTCCACAAAATTTAATTTTGTGTGTTACACAGAAGTTAAACTATTTCCCATTACTACTTGGAGTGAATTCAGGGCAAGATGATCCTTAAAGGATATATTATCGGTAAGAGACATGTTCAGTTATCGCTGTAATTTTTATGTTTATACAAAGATTTAACAATTTTTGAAACTTCTAAAACTTTGATTTATAAAAATAGCCCTAGAAGATGATGCTCCCAGTTAAGGACTTTACTTGAATGGGATTAAAATTACTGTTATTAGAGCAAAAAGTCAAGTATTTATTACAATATTTATCATAGAGTTCTAATTTTGCTTAAAACTTCTATTCTTCAAGCAGAATATGAATACCTAGTACTTGTTTCTCTTCTTTTTTTTGGTCTGAATTTATTATAGTGCCTGGTTAAACAGAAAGCTTAAAACTTATTTGAATTTTGCTCTAAAGCACATATTTTAGAAGTTCACATGCTTTAATAAAGACATAGAATGTGATACATAACATTCATGTCCATAAACTCTTGTTACCTGACAAAAAAGTAAAGTGTCAATTGCAGGTGTAGCACACATCTTGTGGTCTGAGTACTATATTTCTGTTACCAGCACACCCTGGTGGAAAATGAATCGACATATGTGATTAAAAATTGCACAATATTTTTGGTGACAGAATAGATTGTCACATATAATGACAATATTCTATGGTTGTCTAGCTATGCAGCAAGGATTACCATTTGGAAAGGAAGATCTAATATTTCTAATATTCCAGCTCAGTTCTGTGAAGTCAACAGACTTATTTTACAGGTTGAATTTCTTGTATTGACCTAGCAAATATGATTGTATTCAACTTTTAAATTAGAACTACATTTTTTAATATTTATAACTAAAATTATTTAAAATGTATATTTTTGCAAAGTCAATATAATGAGAAAATTAGATATAAAATAATTTTAGACCATATACATTTATTTTACAGTTACTGAATATTTGGAAGCTTTGTATGTATAATTTGATAAAGATATAAATATTGCCATATGTATATTTCTTATTCCTGTTGTATTATAGTTTCTCCATATACGCATTTTGAACTGGAAAAACATTAATTTATGTCAAAGGAATATCAAATCTTTTTTAATATAAATGATTAATTCGATTAATTATAATTGGTTTAAGTAGATTGAGTAACATTAACTTAAAGGGGCAGTAACCAAAGTTTAACATTGAGGCAAAACATGAAATTGGAAATCGTAGAAAATTATATTTTGATGCCTATGAAATGGCGCCTGTTTACCAACAAAGCTCAGTTTATCACCTAAAGTGATCAAAATGTTATTAGATCCTTGATTTGACCTAACACCATGACTGACTTATTAGTTGAAATCTTTAGCCACTTCTCTCCAAAGCTCTCTCTCTTTCTCCTTTGTGAATAAAGATTGCAACAGAGCTTTCTAACCACAGCCTAGCAAACAGAATGGCAAATGGGTTACAGGTTAAGGTATTGAGTCTAGACCAGTCACATTTGACCTGGTACAGGTGGAACTTCAGTCTGGTTGATCCAGCAGATTGTAGCCTGGAAAGGAACTCTTAGAAGACTAAGAATAAGGAGGTCTGATGTGACAGCACAACATGACTTCAGAAGGAGCAAGAAAAACAAGACAAAATAGCACACACTGCTCCATTTGAAAAGCCCAACCAAAACGGAGCTTCACCTCGTGAACATCAGCTACAACTGTCACACACAGAAGGGGAGAGAGCCCACTGAGGACAAGAGGCCCGTGAGACTGCTGGAAGAGTTTATGTTTCAGGTGCCCAAGGAGCACAGTGCTCAGCCTTAGGCTCTGCCATCTGTGAACCAGTGTCTGTCTTCCTAGAATCAGATAATCTCGCCCATTTCCAGCTGATGTATCCACTTAGTACCATCTAAGCTAGTATGACTGCTTTAAAAATGCATGTTTTCTGCAATTAGGACATTTTTGCTATTTTGAAATATATGAAATAAAAAGTAAATTGGTTCCACACTGATTTAACATTAAATTTGGCAATGAAAGAACATGTCATTTACATTATTTGAATGGGATTTCAATTTTAAATATTTGGACTGTTTTAAAAAATAATTTTAAATTGTTATTTTTGCATTCAAATTTGTTGTTGGTGGTGATTGCAAACATTTATTTATTGGTTATTGTTATTAAGAATTCTTGATCAGTAATTACAAGAAGCTGTTTTATTCACCAGACCTGATTAAAAAAAAAATGTTCCAGAAACAAGCACATATTTTCATTAAAAATTGTGAGGATATTTTATTTGGAGATATTATCTAATAAAAAATAAATAATCACACTTCTGTTTTAATCATAAGTGTATTTTGAGTTTTAAATAATTTACATTAATATCGTATATGTCCAAAAGATTTATTTTCCTTATTTTGCCATCCAACATATTATATACATTGAAAAGTTCACAAAACATTTACTTACAGTTTAGTGAATAATAAAAAAATCAGTGTAATCTCCACCCAAGTCATAAAATATTGCCAAAATTTTTAATTAGGTGTTTTTATCTGCATTTTTTTCTCAAAGTCTCCAAAATGTTGCCCAACAATATGAGATAGCTAAGTTGTTAAATAGTTTATTTAGCCCAATTCAGGCTAATGAACTGGGTGTACTCACTACATACTTTTGGTGAATGTCTTCATAGTTGGAGAAATATTTTTATAAACACACTTCTTTAGAGTTTAAAAAAAGTGAGGTGTTATATATTTCAGTTTTGTACATTTCTTTCCACTAAATATTTGGTATACATTAATATTACACAGATCATGTAAATAATGTACACAGGGGAAGTTATACCTAGATATGAATATATATATCTATATATATATTCATATGGTCACAAGTCTTTCTCTCTGAATGCTCCCATGTGCCTCGGGCTTTTAAATTAAATGATACAAAAAATATTATTTTATTGCTAAAACTGCTTTTCCCCCAAATGTTAGTTGACTGGTTCTGTAACCAAAAAAATGTATACCAATATGAATGTATCTGCTCATATTATACAGTATTATTCAGGTTAAACGTACAAAACCTATTTTTCTGAGAATAAATGAAAAAGCAAAAATTTTTATTCACAATGATTAAGAAATTCAAATAAGTAAACTTAAGTTGCTGACAAATTCAACAAGCTGAATTGTTATTTTATAGCTACACCTTCATTTGATACTTTAAAGCAAGGCTGATCAAGGACGTTAGACTGTTCTTTATGCTTTAGACTTATTTTAAATGTGTAGTTTTAATATAACTAAGCAACTGAAACTTTCAC